GCAAAATCTGTGATATATTCTCCCTTTATGTTTACCATTATGTATGCATTAAATTCACTTTCTTCACTACCCCATTCCTGACAAGTCACATATATCAATCTCTGAAATTCTGCTTGACATTTTTTTTAATATTTGAAATATAACTACTGGACTTTCTACATATTTTATATGGCACTTAAGACACCAGAATTTTAGGTAAGAATTTATGAGTATCAGACTTTCATAGTTATCATTATAACAATGGCTATTGGATTTTAACATGTGTCAGAATCACAGAGAAGGCTTGTTGAGACATTTTTATGTCACATTGTACATTTTCTGATTCAATAGTTCTGCACTGGATAGTAAATGCTTATAATTCTAATGAGTTTCAATTGGATGCCAAGAATTTCTCTTTATCAGATCATGCTTTAAGATTATAGAGCATCACAACTGTGACCCATGTTCAGAGGGCTCAGTTCAGTTCCATGAAATTCCCTCAGCTGTCAGTCTGGAGTTAGTGAACTCCCAATAACTTAGGTCAGCTGTCTCTATGGGTATCTCCAAAATGGTCTTGACTCCTTTGGTCATGTTATTTGTTCCTCTCTCTGTTTTACTGGACTGAGTCCACTGGAAGTGGGACCAGGAATTATTACTAGTGTCTGAACTTGCTTTCTGGAGCCCATTCTCATTGGATGGATTCCTTGCTCGGCTGAGATATAGGAGGAAGTGTCTTGGTCCTGCCTCAAAGACAAGTGCCAGACTTGTTGACTCCCTATGGGAAGAATTGCCCACTCTGAGGAGTGGATGGGGTGGAGTTAAGATGGCAAGAGTAAGAGGAGTGGAGGAAGTGGGAACTGTGATTCATACATAAAATGAAAGAAGATTGTTTTAAAATAAAAAAACATCTCTAATATAAATAAATAATTGTAATAGCATTTTGCCTTTTTCTGTTAAATCAAATGTGTCTTGTAAAATGTTGATATGTTGTAACTGAATTTTAGTGGCTTTCAGCAATGGTAGAATGTACAGCAGCAGTGAAGTTTGACTGACCAGAATCAGCAGGTGTAATGGTGGTGGCTCCCAGTATGTGTGTGAAGTCAACCTGTGAGGAGCTTGGGCATGCCTTTGTAGTTATTTAATTAGAATAAGTTAAATTATTAAATATGCTCTTGCTAATAAGTGCAGTATTTAGAAGGATAAGGAATATTTTGTCTTTTAATAAAATGTAAGAACTCATGAGTGAAAAAAAAAAGATTATAGGACTTCTAAATTTTAATTGTTTTGTAAGGAGGCACTGTGACATCTTTTATATTGCAGTGTTAACCAATAGCATCTTTGGTGAGTTTCATGATTCTTTCATTTAAGAACATGAACTGTGATTAATAAGCTCCTTAGTAAGATCATTGTTGTGTATGTATTAGACACAAATAACAGCTCTTGCACATCACTTCAGTTGTTACAATAAAAATATGATGTAAATGCCAGCATGCAGTCAAATTAAAAATATTAAATTAAATACTTCTCACTTACTTATCTTGGTTTAATGAGCAAATACTATGAAAAACACTTAGGAAAGGAAAGGATTGTTTAAGTTCATAGTTGAAGTTCATAGTCCATCATGACAATGAACTTACAGTAAAATAGAATATCATAAAGCTTCTGTCCATGTCATAATCATTCCATCACTGGAATATGTTACAGACTGTTGAAATCCATAGAGCTTTAGCAAATGTAAGCCAACTTCTTTACCTTAAAGTTTTTCATGATATGATTACATTCATAATGGAGAAATATAAGCGACATCAGTCTACTTATGTGTCCTTACTAAAGAAGCTTACAAAAAGGTCTGACTGAAAGGTTTCTATTGTCCTATTTAAATACTCCTTCACCTTTTTAAAATTACACCAGTACATGAGAGGATACCACAAAATATGAGCATATGCCTTGGAATGTAAGATGCTCACATAAAATCTCAGCACCCAATGGGCAAAGGCAAGGATATAAAAACTTCAAGATTTTTCTAAGACACATCTCAAAATAAAATTAGCCTATGATGCACAAGTTTCTGTATCACAAAAAATCAACAGTGTACTACAGATGACATGAACATGAACAAGAGCTCAGCAATTTAAAATGGAGTGATTTTATATTAATCTGTAAATTCAGACTTGCTGTGTGATAGAATGCTATTAATTTACACTGAGGGATTGAAAAAGAGATATACAAAGAAATTATAATATTTCTCTTCTCTGAATTCTATTTTAATCTTTTGTACAAAACCTATATGCATAGTACAAATAAGTAAATTATCAAATTTGGATAAATGAAAGCTATGGAGAAATCTTAGATAATATCTTGAGAGTGGTAATAAAATTGAAAAATCCACTCATCTTTGATAATAAAATCTGAATTTCAGAACTGTATCACAAGACCAACTAATTCAAGGCTGGTATATGCAGAACATAATACGAAACACAGCAATTTTCAGCTAACAAGAAGGCATGTGATGGGGTTGTGATGTGTAGTCCTAGTAAAAGCTGTGCTGAGGGCATTTGGCCTCCTATCTCCCAGAGTACCTTAGTGTCAGTTTTTTAAAGTATTTTTTTTAATTTAAATTATAAACAAGTTTGTTTTACATGTCTATCCCAGTTCTCTGTCCTTTTCCTCCTCCCTTGCTCCCCAGGACCCCTTCAGTTATTTTTAAGTAGGAGCTTGTTTGAAAGAAGATTTTCCTCTTTAAACACAACTAAGAGCCAGGCGTTGGTGGCACACACCTTAATCCCAGCACTCAGGAGGCAGAGGCAGGAGGATCTCTGTGAGTTCGAGGCAGGCCTGGTCTCCAGAGAGAGTGCCAGGATAGGCTCCAAGTTACACAAAGAAACCCTGTTTCAAAAAACAAAACAAAACAAAAAACACAACTAAGAGATTAAACAGGGATTTCCGAAGATGTTGCTCATATCACCATGAGTTCATTATGTTACATACATTTATACTGGTCCTTGCAGGAATCTTTCAGAGTTGACATTAATTTCTGTATTTCAAAAAAGAAAATCAAAGTTCAAGGCTATAATGTGAGTTTCCCAATATTAGACAATTATCATAAACAAAATCTAAGCTAAAGGCTCTTATTCTATGATTTTTTTCATCTATCATAAATCCTCTTTGAATAGTAAGACTAGACAGAAAAGACTTCCCCAAGTGTCTGAGTGTCCCTAACTCTCCAAATATGTCACTGATGTAGACGGGTATTTAAACACCTCTAATAGTATATGTTTCTTGCTGTACAGTCTTCCTGAGGCTAGGATATATAGTTCCCTACTATCTCTGGAAATATCTTCATGTCAGCAATTCTAACAACGCATTCAGTACATCAAAAGATGTATTATACAAGACATTAACTTATCTGGAATTTTCAGGATAATTCAAAATTATTAATAATATCTTATTTTCTGAGTGTTCTTTACTCAAAGCCACCACTGGGGCTTTTATATCAAGAATCATGGATAACATTCAGGGCAACACTACAAAATATGCTTTACTAATTTCTTTATAAATACAGAGAGTTATTTTCTATGTAGTGGTACAATGTATGTCATATGAGACAAGATCTGTGTAGAGTAATCACCTGATAGCTGTGACAGCCAAAATTAAAACTCAAGTTCATATATTCTAATTCTTAAAACTGTTTTCAATATCCCATAGGATGAAAAGGCATTATATTGCCTCCTGTTTATTCCAAATTTATACTGCAGAAATGAGTTTTTATTTATCAAACCTGTGAGATGCAGATAATTTTGAGTCATCTTGTATCATTTTAAATAATGAAGATTATATATATATATATATATATATATATATATATATATATATATCCGTATACGCATCTGAAATAAGGGAGGGTACTTCTTTGTTGATCTTATACCACTTCTTTCATTTTTAACTAATAATACTTTGAAAGAAAAGACTGTTGTGTAGGCTGTTGTGATCACACACTGGGACATATGGGACGGGAACAACTCTACTAAGCATGGAACAATTGAAAATATGTGGTAGCATATTTTAAGAATCCCAGAAAGACTGTCATTCATGATGCTCCATATGTCCCCAACTTTGCCCCACCTCCCACAGACATCATCAGGACTGAAATCGTGTTGCAATATATGACAGCTTGGATCGTGTAGCTAATGTGTCATCATTTTACTGTGAAAGATAATCTAAATTTTGTACCTTTCAAATTAAACTTCCTGAAATTTAATTGCTCTTCTTACTGACATATTTTAGTTACCCACAGTAATTCCTCCAGAGAAAAAATAAAATATTGTTTGTGGTCAAGTTTTTAAAGTTTATATTTCTCATTTTTATTAATTTTATTTTTGATGGATTTATATAATTCTTTGATTACTCTCTTATCTTTTCATCCTTCCCACACTTGACAATCTCTTCTCTTCTTTAGAAATCTCTTTCTCTTGATTGAATTTTCTTACCACCCAATTTAATCAGGACTGTTTTTGTTGTCATTGGTTTAGAACTATTTGATGGATCATGTTGGATTTACCATTTGGTACACATATGAAGACAATAGCTTTCCTCTCCTAGAATTTATTAAGAATGATCAGATCAGCCGAGAATGATAGGATCCCAGAAGCCTCCCTTCCCTTGTGAATGATTATTGATAAGATCTGTTTTGTCCATGACCAATGTGTATGGCTGAGTTAATGACTGCAAGGATTGTGCCATCCAGTTATGCAAGCACGATTGGTTGAAGATGCTTTCTTTATCTATTGTATATTTTTAGCTTCTTTGTTCAAAATCAGGTGTTCATATTTAAATGGATTAATATCACTGCCTTTGATTCTATCCCATTGTTCTATCTGTCTGTTTTTCTAAGCAATACCAAGCTGTTTTCATCATATAACTCTATAATAGAGTTTGATGTTCCCTCCAGAAGTTCTTTTATTGCACAAGGTTATTGTGGTATTTTTGTTGTTCCATATAAAGTTGATTATTGTTCTTTCCAGGTCTTAAGGAATTTGGCTGGCATTCGATGGGGGATTGCATTGAATCTGTAGATTGATTTATGTAAGTTTTTCATTTTTTACTAGTCAATAGTATGGTAGATCATTCTATTTCTTTCTTTAAAGACTTAAAGTTCTTTTTTACAGGTCTTTTACTTCTTTGGTTAGAGTTACCCCAAGACATTTTATGTTGTTTGTGGAAAATGTGAAGCGTGATGTTTCTCTGATTTCTTTCTCAGTCCCTTTATCATCTTCATGTAGGAGGGCTAGTGATTTTTTGAGTTAATCTTGTATCCTGACACATTACTGAAGGTATTCATCAGGTGGAGGAGCTCCCTGATATAACTTTTCAGGTCACTTATGTAAACTTAAATCATATTCAAATAGTGAAAGTTTGACTTCTTCCTTTCCAAATTCTATCCCCTTGATCTCTAGCTAGAACTTCAAGTATAATATTGAATAGATATGAAGAAAGTGGACAGCCCTGTGTTGTTTCTCATTTATTAGAATTGCTTTGAATTTCTTTCCATTTAGTTTGATGCTGGCTATCGGCTTGCTTTATATTGAATTTCTTATGATTAGGTATGTTTCTTGTATCCCTGATCTCTCCAAGACATTTATTATGAAGGGGTTTTGAATTTTGTCAAAGGCTTTTCAGCATCTAATGCGATGATCATGTGTGTTTCTTTTTTCAGTTTCTTTATATGGTGGATTACATTGACAGATTTCTGTATGTTGAACCATCCCTGAATCTCTGGGAAGAAGCCTACTTGATGATGTTGGATGATTTTTTCTGAAATGTTCTTGTAGTCAGTTTGCCATTATTTTTATTATTTTTATTTAAATTAAAACAATATTATTTTATATATCAATATCAGTTCCCTCTCTTTCCCACCCTCCCATTCCCCCCATCATCTCTCCTTTCCAGTCTTCATTCACTCCATGTACATTTTATTGAGTATTTTTGGATCAAAGTTCATGATGGGGATTGGTCTCTATCTTAGTTGTATCTCTGTGTGGTTTAGGTACCAGGGTTACTGTACCCACATGAAAAGAGTTTGGCAATGCTCCTTCCCTTTCTGTTGTGTGGAACACATGTCCAGAAGACAGAATTTCACAGCTCTTCTCCCTATGTTTCTGCTTTTGCATTTCTTTCCATCTCAGTTTCACCAGTGATCCTTCAGCCTCTCATCCTCCCTTTTCCCCCACCAACCCCCTCTTTCCATCCACCATACACTTCCCAGGGAGGGTGAAGCATTCCATGCGGGATCATCAAAGTCAGTCACATCATTTGGCGGTTGGCCTAGGTCCTTCTCCGTGTATTTGAGCTGGAAGAGTCTCCCTCCATGATGAATGGGCTCCCAAACTTCACTTGTGCCCTACCTAGGGATAAATACTGGTTCCACTGTAAGAGGACCCATAAACTTCCCAGGCCTCCTAACTGGCACCCACATTCACAAGGCTTGGTTCAGTCCAATGCTGGTTCCCCTAGCTTTACAACTGGGGTCTCTGAATTCTCACTTATTCTGCTCAGCTGATTCTGTGCATTTCTCCAGTATGGTCTTGACCCCTTTGCCCATCCCTCCTCCCTCTCTACAACTGGATTCCAGGAGTACAGCTCAGTGCTTAGCTGTGTATCTCTGCTTGTGCTTCCATAACCTACTAGATGAAAGCTCTAGGGGAAGGTCATTAAAGATAGCCTCTCCACTATTGCTTAGATTCTTAGTTGGGGTCATCCTCTTTCCTTTTTAAAATCACATTGTTAAATTAGTCAACAAGATTGCTCATTTCAATATGACTTTCTAATTTTCTTTATTTTTGTTAGCCATTCACTTCCTCATTTCATGACTCTCATCACTATTTAAAATATTCCAAACTCATTATCTGACATCTCTATGTGTTCTATTTTCAAACTTTCCTTAGAGTAGCCTACCATGGCTGTTTTATTTTTCATGGCATTGATGGGTACTTCAAGTACTCAAAAGAATTTTTATATTCTTTTGGACTAAAGATTTTATAAGTTTATAATATTTTTTCTTTAAATATTTATTAGGCAAAAATAGGCATCAGCCATATTTTGTCTCTGATTTAGTAATGGTAAATATAGTCACATTTCATTGCAATGGATCTCTAATATTTTTGTCAACCTGAAAGGATGATATTTTAAATACCATCCTGTCTACTCTCATTTTGAGGTCCTTGACAAAAATATTTTTACTTTCCATTTCTATGTTGATTCCTTTAGATACTTATGAATAAAATTATATCACATTTGCTGTTATGACTAGCATACTTAATTTAGCAGCAACTAGTGATGGTTCATCTAAGCTTTATCACATGGTGTTATTGTCTTTTTTTAAAAGCTACATAACCCTTCATCATAAGTATGTATATACCACATTTTTTATCAACATTCAATTTATCAACATTGCTTGATATTTATTTTGCTCTTCCCCATTGGTTAATGTGAATAATGGTAAGGTGAGCTTCAATATACATGTGTTTCTTTTAAACATTTCTCAGTTTTATAAATCTTTGCAAATTATTTTATTGTCATCAATAAATTATAGTCACCCTAGAGTCTTGGAATCCTGATATCCACGTCACTTCATGCGGTAATCTACCCTTTATATACACTTCATATTATAGTCAATTGAGACCACATGCAATATTATAAACTGGTAAATCCTTAATACCAATGCTTCCTAAAGCACTCTTCCCAATGTGAAACTCTAATCCATTACTGTATCATATTTTTAATAGCAAAGGTAGGGTTTATATTTAACAGCCATTATCTACTTTAGCACTTTTTTCTTTTTTTTTATTTAGATCTTCTTTTCATCTTACATACCAACCCCAGTTCCCCCCATCTCTTTCTCCCATCCAGTACCCAGGATAAGTCCTGTTCCCACAGCAAGGCCCACTTCCAACAGATGAAGCCACATAATTGTCTCCCACATTCTGATGGCCAAGTTTGTCCCAAGCAGGTTCACCACCTGACAGTCTATAATCTATGAGTTCCCACTAGGATTGATCAGCTGTCTCTATGGTTTTCCTAAACCATCCCAGATCCAGCTGCCCATGTCAAAAAGTGCTGGGATTAAGGGGATAAGGCACCACTGCCTGTCTTTTACTTAAAATATTTTTTTTTGGTACATGTATTCTGAATACAGTTTCTCGTCCCTTCTTCTCTTCTCAGAATATCCACACCCAATCAGGATCCCCACCCTTTCATTATTTGATTTGAAGACAAACAGACATCTAAAGATTAATAATAAGATAAAAGAAATGAATTTGAATAAAACAAAAAATTCAGACAGAAGAAGGAAAAGAGACAAAGAAAAGGCTTAAGAAACAAATGTAGACACAGAGACACACTAAAAATCAGAAAACTAGAAACCATGAAGTATACATGAAGGACCTATAAGAAAAACAAAAAACAAATACAAGATTCAAAATGTGACAAAGCATTATGAGCTCAAAGAACCTCCCAAAGTACCATTGAGTTCATTTTGTGTTGGCCATCTACTGCTCTTAAGTGTAGTTTGTATAGCCAACAAGACCCTGTTGGAGAAAATGAAATTTTTATTTGCAAGTGTTTATTAATTGGAGATGGTATCTGGGTTAGGGATGTGGGGCATGTATTCATTTCATTCAGTTATAGAATTATACCTGGAACAGACTCTTGCAGGCCCTGTGCTTGCTTCCACAATCTCTGTGAGTTTACAAATGTGCACAAGAATGGTAGAGTTACATCCTGATGTAGATTGATTTACAACTTCCACATGAACTGGAACACTGAGAATACCATCAATTGGTTTTCTAGAAATTGCTCTTCTCAGTTACATCTTCAAGAACTAATCACACTAACACTTACCTATTATGACAGTCTTAATCCTTTTGATATTTACAATTTATATAAAGTATTATGTTGGGTCAATCCATTTGAGAGAAAAACTCTTAGAGAGGCTTCTTGAGAAGAGGAGCCATTACTTTCTAAAAGAAAGACATTACAGTTGGTCTGAGTGAAACTCCTACAAGTTTAATACAATGGTGATTAAAAGAGAAGGATTGAGAGTTTGAGGCCAACATGAGCTACAATGTAAGACCTTATATCAAACAAAAAACAAAACAATTCAAAACTCATCTAAACAAATAACTGAATTATTTATCTATTGTCTCTTATTGCTTTGGAGTGGTTTGAGTCATAACTGCTTCTAAAACAACTGCAGACAAACTGTCTCTGTAAAGAACATTATTTTTCAATATACTGTCTCATTATTCACCATTGGTTAGCCTTGAGATTGCTTTCCTCATGATAGAGTGAAAGGGTTGCACATATGTGTCCTCATGCCAGATTCATGGGAGGGATTTAATTTTCATTGGAAAGATTTTAATTTTCTTTTTATATGATGTGTGTATGCGTGTTCTGCCTTAATATATGCATGCATTATGTGCAATAGGGGCATCAGATCCTATGGAGTTATACATGGTTGTGAGACTCCAAGTGTATAATGTGAATCAAATGTTAGTCTTCTCTAAGAGCATTGATGGCTCTCAACCACTGAATCATGCCTCTAGTTCAAAGAGGGGAACTTTTAAGAGAACAATCTTGTATGATGAAGTTAGTTGAGTAGAAAGAACATTTTGAAATTGGTCATAATTTAATGTGTTGGTTCATGGAAAAGTGTGACATTATTTATACTAAAGGCTTTGCTACATAGAATTCTCTAATTAAATTACTTTAATTCATATATTTAATTACTCAGGTCACATGTTGTAATATTATATAAGTAAAATTATCATGTTGATTAATCATATATATTGATATACTTATCAAAATCTGAGTGTAATTCTCTTACCCTGAAGAATGTTTTTGATCATCTAAATTTCAAATTTAAAAATTGTCTTTCTGTATATTATTCATACCCATAATATTTGCTTTAACACCTTTGTTGCCTATATATATGTATATGAATGCTTGCTTGTGGGGAGGCACAGATGCATCTCTGTGTGTAGGGGGCACAGTGGAATACAAGAATTTGCCTGTGGGTTTTATGCTGTATGTTTCCTCTGAAATCACAGAGTTCCCTACAGGAAAGATATTGCCCACAATTAAATCAAGTTTCTTCCTCAATTGCTTTCTAGTTTGTTAACTGGAAAACAGTCTTTAAATGAACCCAGCTCCACAGATTCATTCTGGCCTGCCTGGACACCTTGCATGGGAATCTGCCCCCATGCTTCTTTCTCTAATGTATGGAGGTGACAGGCAATGAGCTTGCATGAATGCATACTAATTCAATTGTAGGAATCCATTCTCTGATCCTCACATTTACAGTGTATTACTCATCTTTACATATCTGTGGTCTATCCTCTTAAAGAAGCAAGTTTTACAATTATAAAGTTATTGTTGTTCCATTCCAAATTTATAATTCTTTGTTATTCTTTTTAATATAGGAGAGGGACTGACCACATTTATCTTGTTACCATAATTTTATCTGAGTATTCACTACTCCATTTGTAGTTAATCTAAATTTGCTAGTAAATAATTACTAAGAATTCTGACAAAAGACTTATACATGTCTACATTTTCCTGCTATGCTTGACACATCATGAATATTCTACACTCAAGAAATACAATTAGCAAATTGGTCTTTAAAAAAACAGCGAGTGTGAGAATTGGATGAGGAACAAATCCAATGTTTTACCACTGAACCAAGATTCAAATTATCATCTCATTAAATGCACTAGTGCAAGAGTGTACATAGGAGCTTTCTATGTTTTGGAAAACATCATAAATAAAGAGGGCCAAATTTACCATTTTAACTGAGTTTATATTAAATCTACAACTAAATATAAGATAAAAGAAAACAATAAAGGTTTTCTGAAGCAGCAAACATCACAAAAAGACAAACGATGAATGAAGAAATATCTTCACGATGCAGGAAAAACATTACTGAAGGAGAGACACTGCACCACAATTGATTTGAACAACAAAGAAAGTTAAGTTAAAATTTTAAAAATGACAAAAGGCATTTGTATTAAATTAATGAGGATGTACAAATTTATGAAGAAGGGAATATTTTATGTTTCCTAGGACTTAGAATAAAATTGGAGCATACTAGGATAGAAGAAAAGACATGCATTTAAAGGGGACACCACATGGGTTATAAAGGACATTTGAGATCATGGTAAGCAATTGAGAACTATTACAAATTTACTGAGAAACCATTGAAATTTCTCAGAGACATGGCTAATGTGATGTGATGAAACATTTTGTTTGTTATTATTATTTTTCAAATTGATTGTAACTTTTGCAGTTATGTAGGAATGACAGAAGTGGATAAAGATAAACCCATTAGATGGTTTCTGAAGTAGAACTGGAAACAGCAGACTTGAAGGAGAGCAATAGCTACATACATATTTCTGGAACAAATGCAGACTCTATTCTAAAGAAATGTAAATAAGTATAATTATGTAATGCACCCTGGATATACATCCACCCAGATGATGCACAATATGAACCAAGATTAGCATCATGGAGAGAGATGTCACAGAAAGCCTGAGAGGAACTTGTACTCAAACTTGGGAAGACAAGAGAGTTTGTTTCCACAATCCAACAATCTGAAAACAGGGTTTGTGTTGTGTGTTTCCTCTGAAATCAAAGTGTTCCCTACAGAAGAGATATTGCTGAGTATACTGACCTCCCCCTTATTCATGATTGTTTGTGGTTATGATTAAACTGCCTCCTGGCAGGAAGAAAGACTTTCTGGGAAGGGCAATGAGAGGTTTTCAATTTCCCAGAAAATCCTGGCACTCATTAGACTGTGCTAATAGTTGCTGATGAGTTAATTGTCCCCCCAAACAAACCAAACTCTAAGAGTTAGAAATAAACACCAGCAGCACTTTGTATTAAAATAGCCAGGTTCTCTGTACCAGCCCTCATATTTCAGCAAGATATGTGTAATTTATTGTAGGTGCTCAGGGTGAATTTGTTTGTCTATGTCACGAAGCTCAAGGCATTGAGCAGAATGATTTAAAAGGAGATGAAAAGCTATAGTTTTATCTCCATGTGGTACAAGTGCACCCTGGCTTATAATTGCTCTATCCATATCATTTTACAATTAGGCTATCTTCTGCACATGCTCACCTGGTAGCTGGCATGTACAACAGAGATCCGTAGCAGAGCAGTATAAGTCAATTCATCTCACCCACTTGGCTGAGTCTGACTTCATCTGTATCCTTTTGGCTAATTCACACCAGATTATTGATAGCCAAGCCCTCAATGGTTTGCATCCCACACAGTCACCAAAGGTTTCTCCTTGATTCTTAGGACCACATTAGTATGTTATGGGTTGCTTTAATGTTTTGATTTTAAACTAGTCAATAACAACTGATTTCTGATATCCTTAGCCTAACAGATGCGGAGCAATTTTGCTTATATGCTTTGTTAGAGGATATTCATCCAAACACTGAATCTATACTTTTGTATATATCATTTTCTCACTTTAGCTAGCTGCCTACAAAGGTCATTTCTAATCAATAATGCTCTATGTTCTTTATAATTAAGAACAAAATGTCAGGCACTGGTGGCACATGCCTTTAATACCAGCAATAAAGAGGCAGAGGTGGGGGGATCTCTGTGTGTTTGAGGCCAGCCTCATATACAGAGGAAGTTCCAAAACAGTTTCAAAAGCAATACCAAAAAAACCATGTGTCCAAAAACCAAAAACCAGAACAAAAAAAGAATAAAATATAGTAATTAATTACAGAATGAAGGACAAGGTTGTTAATATTATAAAATATGTTAGTGCTAGACTGAATATATAATATCCAGGTTCTGGAGTAAATGCATGCAGAAATTTTTTTTCAATGAAAATCCCTGTATTGTTTTTAACTCCCTATATCTTCACGTAGCTTATGTATAGTCAACATTCCATAACTGTAATGACAATCATGTTGTGTGATAATTACTCATCTACTGAAACATTTTTCTTTAATATAGTGTCACATGCCATGCATGATGGAATCCTAATATGAAAGGAAAACTACATCTCTTGATTTATTGCAGTGAAACCTCTCAGTCAAGAAAGAGATAAAGAAAAAAGTGACCGACTTCATACAATTCAATAAAAACGAATTCACAACATTCCCAAGCTTATGTGACACTATGAAGGCAATGCTAAGAGGAAAGTTCACAGCACTAAGTGCCTACATAAAGAATTTGGAGATATCTAATATTAGTGACTTAGCAGCACAGCTTGAAAGATCTAAAACAAAAAGAAGCAAACAAACCCAAGAGGAATGGAAGTCAGGATAATGAGACTCAGGGCTGAAAACAATAAAATAGAAACAAAAGGAATAATACAAATGATCAATGAAACAGAGTTGGTTCTTTGAGAAAATAAAGAGTATAGACAATTTTTTCCATTGTAACTCAATGGCAAAGAGAGGATATTCAAATTTAAAAATTCAGAAATGAAAAGGGGGCATAACAACAAACAGTGAGAAAATCCATCCAGAGAATCATTAGATCATCATTCAAAAATCTTTACCACACAAAATTGGAAAAATCTGTTGTATGAATGTGTATTCTTTGGGGATATGCTTAAGAGAGAAATTGTTGGATCTTGAGGTAGACTGATTCCCATTTTCCTGAGAAACCACCATGCTGATTTCCAAGTGGCTGTATGAGTTGACACTCCCATCAGCAAAAAAGGAGTGGTCCTTTTTTCTCTAATCCTCTCTAGTATAAACTATCATTGGTGTTTTTCATTTTAGCCATTCTGGCAGGTATAAGAGGGTATCTCAGAGTCGTTTTGATTTGAATTTCCCTTATGGAAAAGGATTTTGAGCACTTTCTTAAGTGTCTTTCAGCCATTTTAGATACTTCTCTTGAGAATTCTCTATTTAGTTCTGTACCCCACTATATAATCTCATTGTTTGTTGTTTTTGTGGCTAGTTTCTTGAGTTCATTGTATATTTTAGATATTACATATGTTCAACTATGTTCATATGAGCATTATTTGTAATAGCCAAAACCTGGAAGCAAACTATATGCCCCTCAACTGAAGAATGGATACAGAAAATGTGATACATTTGCACAATGGAGTACTACTCAGAGGAAAAAGCAAATGAAATCTTGAAATTTGCAGGAAAATGGATGGAACTAGAAGAAACCATCCTGAGTGAGGTAACCCACTCACAAAAAGACAAAATTGGTATGTACTCACTCATATATGAATTTTAGATATAGAACAAACAATTATAAGCCTACAATCCTCATCAACAAAGGAAGTAGGAAACAAGAAGGACTCTAAGAAAAGAATGCATGGACCCCAGAGAAGGGGAAGGGGCAGGGTCTCCTCAGCAAATTGGGATCATGAGGGTAGGGTAGAGGGATCTGGGAGAATTAGAGGGGGAGAAGAGGAGGGGAAAAGAGCAAATTGAGAGTAAGGAAGGTTGAGTAGGAGGAAGAATAGAGGAGAACAGGATGAGAGATACCATGACAGAGGGAGCCATTATATGTTCAAAGAGAGATCTGGCACTAGGAAGATTTCCAGAGATCTACAAGGATGACACCAACTGACAATCTAGGTAATGGTGGAGATGGCTACCCTAAATGCCCTTCCCATGGAATGAGAATGATGACTGCCTTATATGCCATCGTAGAGCCCTCAACCAGTGGCTGATGGAATCAGAGGCAGACACCCACAACTAAACACTGAACTGAACTCTGGACCCAAGCTGCAGAGAAGGAGGAGTGAAGAGCAAATAGTTAAGGACCAGACTGGTGAAATCTGCAGAAACAACTGATCTGAACAAGGGGGAGTGCATGGACACCAGACTGTTGTCTGGGAGGCCAGCAGGGGATTGATCCAGACCCCTCAACTTGGATGTCAATGAGGAGGCCCAGGCACTCTATTGGGCCCCTGGTACTGGGTCAGTATTTATCCCTGGGGTAAGAAGGGACTTTGGGAGCCCATACCACATGGAGGGATACTCTCTCAGTTTGGACAGATGGGAGAGGGCCTAGCCCCTGCCCAAGATGACAGACTTTGGGGAACCCCCATGGAGGGCCTTACCCTCCCTGGGGAGCAAAGGGGGGATGAGGTGAAGGTATGGTGGGGGTTTTGGGGGAGGGGAAGGAGAGGGAGAAGGGATTGCCATGTGAAGTAGCCTTGTTTCTTTTTTGAACTAATAAAAAATAATCACTTAGAAAAAAAGAAAAACTTTTAATATATAAAAAATAAACTTTCATTTTTTATTTTATGGGGCCTTTTTCTCTTGCCTAATTACTATGCCTTGTTATTAAATCTAATTTTTAATAAAAGTAGTGAAAGTGGAAAAAATTGGAAATTCTGAAAGAAATGGGAAATTTTCTTGAAAGGCACCACTCAGCAAAATTAAATGCAGACCAGTTAAACACTTTAAATAGGTCTCTAAACCCTAAGCAAATATATTCAGTCATTCAAAGTCTCCTAAACAAACTAACTAACTAACTAACCCCCAGGCCCAGATGTTTGCAGCACAGAATTCTACCAGAATTTCAAAGAAGAAAGAATACCAATACTCCTCAAAATTTTCCAAACAATAGAAATATAAGGAACATTGCCAAATTAGTTTATGAGGTTATAGTTACCATGATACCCAAACTGCACAAAGAATGAGAATTACAGACAAATTTCCCTTATGAACATTGATGCAAAAATACTCATTAAAATTCTGGCAAACCAAATTGAAGAAGACATCAAAAATATCATCCAATATGATCGTGTAGGGTTCATCCTGGAAATGCAAGGATAGTTCAATATATAACGTCTATCAATATAATCCACCTTATAAAGAAACTAAAAGAAAAAAAAGTTCACATATTTATCTCATTAGACACTAAAAAGTCTCTGACAAAAATTAAAACCCCTTCGAGATACATGCCTTAGAAATCAGGGAAACATGGGATATACCTGGACATAATAAACCAATATACATTAAACAGACAGCCAACATTAAAGTAAAGGAGAGAAACCCAAAATGATTCCACTAAAACCAGGAAGAAGACAAGGCTGTCCATTCTATCCATGTCTATTCTTAAAGTACTCAATGTTATCCTGTGTTAAGACAACAAAATGAGAGTCCTCATGACTTATTGTTAAACACCAGCCTTTCACATAGCATGGATAAAGACTAACTATACAATCCTAATTGACTTATGAAATTGCATGTGCCTTTTACCTGCTCAAACATAGAACAAAAAATAATCATCTTTAGCTGACTTGTACACCTCACACATTCCATATATGTTAATGTAGATTTACATGTTACCTTTAAAAGTTTATGCTTTCAGAAAGAATGGACCAAATACCAACAAAAACAAGTAACTCAGATGATCCACATTCTCAGAGTGCCTCAGTTGAAATTGCCTCAAAATTATGCATCCAGAACAATTCAAAGCTGCTGAGATGATCCAGCATCACAGAATATCCAGCCAAAACTTCAGATAAGCTCTGTACTTTCCCATTGCACAAAGACTAAATGAAAAATAATAAAACTAGCTTTCTCAGGACTTGAACATTATCTCAATTGTCTTGGGGTACCCTAAAGATGCTGTTGACCACAGACAACAATAAACAATTTTAAGAATATGACAACCATGTTTCCAAGATTTGGGCTGGTTGTTTTTTTTTTTTTGGTCATTCAGTGGATTATGGATGGTTGTCCTCAGTTGGGGGTGTGTCAGTTACAAGGAATGATCCAGACCCTGTGAACATGAGCATCAGTGAGGATGCCTCAGCAATCTATGGGGGCTCTGGTAGTAGGTCACTAGTTATACCTAGCATATCCATTGACTTTGGGAGCCCATTCCACATAGAGGGATACTCTCTCTGCATAGACACATGGGGGAGGGCCTAGGTCCTGAAAATGATATGATATGCAATGCAAATGATATGATAGACACTGAAGAACCCCCATGCAAGGCCTCACCCTCTCTGGGGAGCAGAAAAGGGATAGGAATAGGAGGTTATTGGGTGGCCGGGAAGGACAGGAGGAAGAGGGAACTGGGATTGACATGTAAACAAGCTTGTTTCTAATTTTAAAAAAAGAATTTAAATTTTAAAAAAAGTGAAAAAAGAATTGGAGAAAATAAGAAAACAGAAACCACAATAAAGGAAGCCACTTTAGGTTTAAAGAGAAATCTGACACTAGGAAAATTTCCAGAGATCTGCAAGGTTGACCCC